AGAGTGACTGGTGAATTTGAACCATTTGCCTTGGGGTTGGCAGTGCAACCTCTTAACCACTAGGCCACCAGAGCTTCCTAATTATAGTATTAGTAAAGAATACTGAATATACTGTAAACTAACAAAAGAAAGAACAAACTTGTCTTGGAGGAAGTTCAGCCAGAATGCTCCTTAGAAATGAGGCTTGTGAGACTATCTCACATACTTTGGTCACTTTATTAGGAGCAGGTAGTCTGTAGAGGAGGACATCAGGCTTGATAAAGTAGACTAAACTGCTTGTCGTTGAGTCAAACCTAACTCCCAGTTGACCCTCTAGAGGGTTTCTGAGGCTTTCAATTGCACAGGAGGGCATTACCCATTTTTCTCCCCAGGGGCTAACTGGTGCATTTGAACCATGAGAGATGACACCTTTGGGTTACCAGCACACTTCACTTCCTATGGGCTAGGCCACCAGAGAGCTCTCTAAAGCAGTGTCGTTATTGTTTTGTACCCTTGATTTGGAATCAACTCATAGCTAACCCTCCAGCAGGTTTTTAGAAGCAGTAAATTGCCTGGGAGGAGACTGCCTATTGTACTGTGGAGCTGCTGATGGATTTGAACCTTGTGTCTTTGGGTTAGCAACACAGCTCTGTACCCACTAGGCTTCACCAGAGCTCTCTCCCTTAAGTAGAACATTCTCAAAAGAGAGAGAATACCCTCAAAGAGACAGGATAACAGTGGCACTGACAATGGGCTCAAGCACAATGGTTGAGAGGCTGGCCCAGGACTGAGCAGTGTTTTCCTCACTTTGTACAGAGAGTTGCTTGGACCACTTTCATGAGGAATCTGAGTCCTTGGAGAAGAACATCATGTTTGGAAGGGTGGAAGGTCATCACAAGAGAGGAAGACCCTGAATGGGCTGGATTGACACAGTGATTGTGTCAATGGGGCTGGATGTGTTAGAGATGGTGAATTTGGCTCAGGTTCAGAATTACTGTTCATGGGATTGCTATGAGTTGTAGTCCACTCAATGGCACATAACCACCACCACTAGGTACACATCGTGTGTGTTTGGCCATGCATTTACTATTCTGACTTTTCCATTATTCTATGCAAGTGTGTCAAGGGTGGCGAGGGTGGCACAGGAAATGGTAGGTTTCAGATCCCCTGTTTATAGGGTTGTTAGGAGTTGAACTCTGTGGCACACGACACTGACAACTCTTGTCTAGCCTATTTCACTCCTGGAGATTTTCCTTTGGGTTTTAGAGGCTGCAAAAGGGACTGTGTATCTTTGTCTTACTGAGGGGTTGGTGCTGGGTTAGCAGCTACATGGCCAGAGCTCCCTACTTTACCATTGTTGTTGTGGTGCCTTTGAGTCAGAACCAATATGCAGACGACTCTATGGTGGGTTTTCAAAGGTAGTTAATTGCATGAGAAGAGATTGTCCATCTTTCTCTTGCAGAGCAGCTGGTAGATTAGAACCACAGAAGACTAAAATTCTAAATCCAAAAAACTGTCTCATGAGCATGCACTTAGCTTGGGCATGCCAAAGATTTAAGTACAGTCATCTTCAGGCCAGCCCATCCGCACAGCCCCTTTCGTCCCCACTTTTTCCCTAGCCCTATCAGCACTGGTTAAGTGCCCAGGTTCTGATTTGGAACTGAAAAACTCATGATCTTCTGGCTCAGGTTCTGTGAACTGAGTCATTCTGGCAAGGAGAATATTCCGTGACTCAGCAGGCCCAAAGAGGAGGATGTCAGAATCCAGATAATTTCGAGTCTTTTAAAGGCAAGCCGGGGAAACACAAATAACACAGTGGAATAATTTCACAGTAGGCCTGATGTACCCAAGGGAAAAATGTCATTCCATTCCCAGCCTTTTCACTTCCTTCCTTGCCCCTAGTAAAACGATGGGTTGGTTACACATTGATTTATCTGCAGGAAACCGCTCCAGAAAACTCATTTTGATGACTCGAGGAGGGCCTTTTTTTCCAGAGACTGTCAGTCCCCTCCACACCCGGGATCAATCCATGGAGAGGGCTGGCCCGGTGCTCTGAACCTCGCCAGGGCCTCCCAAGCCGGGCTCGGGGCTCGCGGGCAGCCCCCACAGGCCGGCCACGCGGAAAGGGGAACACCTGGCGGGGGGGGGGGGGGGGTCCACGCGACAGAGGCTCAGGCCGTCGCTACACACGAAGACCGCCCTGAGCTAACACCCGGCGCCGCCCCTTTAAGTCCCCCGCCCGACCCCCTCCCCCAGCCTTCCGGGGAGCGGAGCCCGCAG